CTTTTTCCTTTTCCAAATTGATAGAGAGCCTTTCATTCAGAATGTTCAGACTTTTGCTGAGCTCTTCTTCCAGTTCCAGTTTAGAGGACAGCTCCAGGACAGTTCCCTTAAGGCTCTCAATGTCCTTATGAAGGGTCTTAATCTCAGCTCTGGACTCCTTCAGGGCGTCCAGCTCTCGTTTATGGGTGACTGCCTGTTTATCCAACTGAACGTCCAGCTCTAGCCTCTGCCGACGCTCCTTTTGGAGTTTAGCAGATTCACTTTTGATCCATCTTTCCAGATCATTGCTCTTTTTTTCTTCTGTCTGCAGTTTGGTAAAAAGACTTTCAGCTTCTCTCTGAAGGGCCTTGTTGACCTCCTGCTCAATCTTGACATTGTTGTAAAGATCCTTCTTTTCTTTTTCCAGGAACTTCATTTTGTCTGTAAAAGCGCTGGACTCGGGTGTTTCATGTTTCTGAAAAAGAGCTTCCCTGCATTTCTCAAGCTCAGCCGTTAAAGACTCATTCTCTTTGGACAAAGAATTGTTCTTTTTTATCTCAGTGTCTAGTCTGGTCGACAGCTCAAGGATTTGTGTCTTTAGTTCCTCCCAAGGTCTCTGACTTAACCCTATATGTTGAAGTTCAATCATATCTCCACTTGAGTACCTTGAAGTCCGACAGTGAAATTTTGTCAAAATGTTGGGCCCAGAAGCTTCTGGTTTAATTTGATTCACATCTTTGCACTCCTGCAACTCATCCTCCAGCTGCTGCCTCATGGTTTGCTCGTTCTGTAGCTTAATTGTTAGCAATTCTCTCTCCTTTATTAGAGAGCTTATCTTGGCCTCTATATCTACATTTGCAGACGCCTGGACACTTTTTACCTCAGAATTCTTTTCAAGCTTGAGAAGATCTTTATATTTCTGCAAATCATCACACAGCTGTTTGCTCCTGTCCTGCTCTTTCTGAAGGCCTGACAAAACAGACTTTTTCTTCCCCGTCTCTATCTCCAGCAGATTGGAGAGCTTTGCAACTTTGCCTTGAAGGTCTCTGATTTGTTTGTCTCTATCAGACCTTTGGTTGCACTTGTCTTTAGACCCTTTCTGGTGCCTGGGGGCAACTTTTGTTCCATTTACATCATCTCTCTGCCTGCGATTAAAGGCCTGCAACCTCTCGCACTTGTTTTTATGAAATGCAATCTTGACTGGTAGAAACTTCCTGTCACATGTCTGTGCCTCCATTTTCTCAGTTAGCTGGAGGAGTCTGTCGTCCTCAGCTGTTATATTCTCCACACCATTGTCCAGGTCATCCATGATATCCGTCCAAGGTTTTGATGCAGTACCATAGTCTATCCCTCTGACAGCCATGAGTATTTAGTGATCTATGGTCTGAAGGTGTTGTAGAAAACAGCTTGATTTACACTATACTGATTATATTGATATGTCTCAATTCTATATTAAGAACACTGAAATGCTATATTTTACACAACTATTTTTATGAAATGTTAGCAAAATTTTGAGTATAATTCTTTGCTCAATCTAGACCGGAGGACATAAAGACAACAAACTAAATTCAGAAGAAGGCTGTAGCATTACATTAGATGCTCTATTTGTTGTAAAATGCACCCACCAGGAAAAGATGATGTAATCCTTTATTGTCCTTGATCTAAAAAACTACGAAGTAACTTCTTGGCTGGTTTTTGCAAGTTTGGCAAACCTGTCACTTGAAGTTGGTGGAATTTTCAAATGCATAAATTCATGTTACCTGGTTGATGGTACATTTTGAAAAAAACTAGGACAAAGGGCACTGAAATGTGTGCTTTCGTCAGGATACCAAAATCTGCTTTGGAAATGCTGCTGTTTAATGACAAGGTAAATTCGATTCAACTGAAGAAAAAGATGAAGGATTCATACCGCTGCCTTAGATATTTTTTTAATCTTAATGAAACCTAGCCCAGCCCAGGCCTAGGTTTAGTCCTTTTTTTAAACTTTCACATTTTCCCTTTAAAAAATAGTCAACAGATGACTGTAAAATTTGAAAGAAATATGGATTTGGTTAGTACAAGCCAAATGATCTCCTAGAAAAGTACCAAAAAAGATCTAGAATGTTCTGAGTTCCACAAAATAAAACCAATTTAGGGCCTACCCCATACAAAGTCATTGGTTGAACATTCTGTCCAGCTTTGAAGAGCCCAACATCAAAGTCATTCATGCGTGACCTCATCAATTTGCCCAGAGAAGAGTGACTTTGTTTGGGTGTTGAGAAGGGATGTGAAGTGACATCAGAATGTTAAATGTTGTAAAAACATGCATAAATAGAGAAGGCACCTGAGAAAAAAAAAAAAAAGTGGTTGTGAACATTCAAGAAGAATTCCGACAAACTTTTCCCCTTCAACAGACAGAGTTATTGAATGTCCATGGGCAATAAAGATGTCATAAACAACGCTTTGTCCAAACCTTGGACAGACATCACAGAGGACATGGAGAACACTAACAGGAACACTACAGAGAATCCTTCTAAGGCAAAGCAACATATTAGCGGTAAGGATGAACGAGTCATTCAGGGCACCGAGAAAATGGATACACAGCCAGGTGACCAGAAGTTTCAGTTAGGCTCAGTCCCCTTCTCCAAAGACAAAAGTGCAAGAACTCAGACCTTTGCTCGAAGACAGAAAGATGAAGGTAACAGACTAAAAGGTGCCACAAGGCACCAACGGGGTTCTAAAGAAACTCAGAACCAAAAATTAGAACGAGAGAAGGAGATAGAGCTTCTCCAGAGTAAAGTCACCAGGCTTTCTAACTTGCTGGAGAAGGAAACAGGGAAGAAAAAGTCTGTCCTGGCAGATCTTCAGAAGGAAAGAGATTGGACAAAAAAGTTAGGTCATGACTTGCAAAAATACAAGGATTCTTTTAAGCTTTCGGGGAAAGTTGGTCTTGTTAAAGAGGACAGAGATAATACAGATACTGAGAGTGTCAAATTGTCTGCCAAACATCTAAAGTCTAAAGATAAGGACACCCTGATTGTCCAGCTGCAAAAGGAACAAACAATGAGACAACAACTAGAAGAAGAGTTACAGAGGTGCAAAGATTTCCTCCTGCAGGAAACTGAGTCTTCAGAGTCTGGGACAGAAGTTCTCCATCAAAATTTCAAAGACCTGGAAAAAAACAGGTCTGGGCTCAACAAGCTCAAGACGGAGCCAAAGCACTTGAAGGACCTTAAGGCTCAAATTGTGGAGCTGGCTTCCAGGCTAGAGACTGAAACCAGAATGAATGATTCCCTCTCTAAAGACAGACAGTCTCTCTCCACTGAGCTTCAAAAATGCAAAGATGCCCTGTTGGAGAGATCTGAGGCCCCTGATTCCAACACCATGAAGGAGAACCTTTGTCAGAGAATAAAAAAACTGGAGAAAGAAAAGTTTGAGCTGAACAACAAGCTGAAGGTTGAGCAGGAAGTGAACCAGACCCTCCACAGAGAGGCAGAGAGTCTTTTTGCAAGAGTCCAGACAGAAGAGAAGAAAAATGGTGATCTGGAAAGGTGGATGAAGAGTGAATCAGTAAAGCTTCAAAAAGAACGCAGGCAAAGACTAGAGCTGGACCTTCAGTTGGACAAACAGGCAGTCACTCACAAACGAGAGCTGGACACTCTGAAAGAGTCTAGCACTGAGCTTGACGTTCTTCATCAGGAGGTGGAGGGTCTAAAAGCAACCATTCTGAAGCTCTCCACCAAACTGGAGCTGGAGGAGGAGCTGAGTGAGAGCCTCCTTATCTTAAATGAGAGGCTTTTCTCTAGCCTGGAAACTGAGACCAAGAAGCTGGAGAAGGAGCAGAGCTGGAGACTTAAGCTGAGTGACAACCTGCAGAAACAGAAAGACGCTCATCATCAGGAGTTGGAGGCTCTGAGCGAAGAGCTTGAGAAGCTCAAGGTGGACAACACAGAGATCCTGGAACAGCTACAGGTGGAGAAAGAAGCCGGGCACAAAAAGAGTCACACCTTTTTTGGACGTAGGAAGAAAACGAAAGAAACACAGGCAGAAGATTTAGTGTCAATGACGTCAACAACTATGTCTCAAAGAGCCGGTGACTGAAACTAGCATCGAGACATGGTATTTTTTGTTTTCTTTCTCCAAACATCAACTAAAATGTCGTTTCTGTGTTATATTTTCATAAAACATTTATTTTGAAGTTTTTGTTATTAAAAGTTTATATATTTAAGAAATTCAAGAGTTTTAATTGCTTTTAAGCCCGTTTTTATTTAACACTCCTAAAGGAATGCTGAATATGCAAGTAAAATACTATCAAAATGAATAAAAAATGACTCACTAACAAAAAAAGAAGCAAACAGAAGAACAACAAACTGTTACTCATGTTACTGAAAACAAAATAATGTGCTCAAACCTGTCAATAGTATTTTAAATGGCATAAAACTAATATTAAAACACCTTGAGAAAGTGAACATTTAAATTACTTGTTAAGAAATAACCTGGTTGCTTTTTTCCATTCCAATCTAGTTTCTGTAATGAAACAAGACTTCAAGAAAAGAAACTGTTGTGCAAAACCATAGTGGTAATATGAATTTGACATTACAAAAACATAAGAGTGTGTCAAAAGTGTCTTTGTGTGTTTTCCCCAAATTTAACCAATAAAGCTTAACAAAAGTCATCATTTGTTTTAGTCAATCTGTAACATGACTTTGTAAAATATTTTTTATAATTTACAAAGTTTTTAGCCATGGACATGAATTAAAGGTTTTACAACACCTGTTACAGTCAATCCAGGTAAACCATATTTCGATTTTTGTCATTTTAAGTAAGTGGACATATTTTCGATAAGTAAAAATAAATTTAAAAGTTCCAAATAATACATGAAGTTGGCCATTTTTCTCATCAATTTATGATTCACAAAATTTAGGCTTAAAAAAACTAACTGGCCCAGCAGCACCTTAACACAGCACTTATTTTAAGAATATTTTAAGTAGCGTTCTGAAAGAGCACCTCCGATTCATACCATTTTTAACCTTATTTCCTATCCAATAATCACTGTGAACTGCACAACATTCCCAGCAATGTCCTCAACCTGTCAAAGAGGCTTGTACCTCAGTTTGCATCCACTGCTGACATGTCGATGGAGGCTGTCCGACTTCTTCAGTACTGCCTGCAGCCCATTTGTTCCTGTGTGTGAAATAAATAAATTAAAAAAAGAAAGTGGAGAGGAACATCTGTGAACATCTCATTGTTCTCCGTGTGAAGGCGCACCCCGATGACGCACATTCACCTCCTGTCCTTCCGAACATTTTCAGCTATTTCGTTTCGCTTCTATGCCTGATGACATTTAACTGAATCCTGTCCAAACGGTCTGAGAAATTTCAGACTCGTCATCCATCAGGGGTTTTCCTCCTTTTCTATTCCTCCTTATTCCCCTCCTCTATCATTTCATTTCAAATCTAAATCTGCCTGACTTTGCTCCTTTTCTCATCTTGGTTTCAACACCCACGAGGACAAACGGCCCACCTGCATCTGAACTTGCTGGCAGAGAAACAGATCAGGTGTTTGACCTTGTGTCTACATGATAAGTGTGTTTGCATGTTTGTGTGTGTACATTTGTTTGGGTGAGTTTAGGGAAAGTGTGTCCATGTAGGTTTGTTTGTAGAATAGAATACTGTGTTGTTTGTTTACAGAGATAGAGTTTGGAATGTTCTCATATATTTCTGTGTGTGATTGTGTGTGAAAGAGAGAGAGAGAGAGAGAGAGAGAGAGAGTCAGGTGTCACGTTTACCCCCAGATCGACCCAACCTGGGAATGATCTGGTCTCAGCGGGAGAAGCCAACACTGCTTCTCTACATACATGTGTGTGTTTGTCTGTGTGTGTGTGCATGTGTGTCTAACCCTGAGATGACTCATAAACCATCTGGAGGCCAGATGCAGGTTAGAAAACTACTCTCTCGTCTCTCTCTCCAGTTGCTGTTAGTTCCCTTAGTTAACCCATGAACTTTGTCCTCTGAGCGTTGGTACTGGTCTCTGTGTGTGTGTGTGAGCTTTTGTGTGAGTGTGCGTGCATGTGTTAGAGAGAAAGTAAATTCACAAGACTGTGACCTTCGTCGGGGGCCATGAACTCTCCCTCACTGACCTCCAGGAGTTCAAGTTCACTAATTGGACTGCGCTCTCCATCTTTCTAAAGCCTGCGCAACCAATGACTCTGGGAAAATAAGGAGCTTTAAAAATATGTCACCAATTATTTTCTCAGCTCAAAACAAAAGTTACAGCTTTGTAAATCACATTAAAGGCTTTTTAAAATTGTTTTTCTGGAGGGTTTTGTTTGGTCTTTATTGTTTTGTTTATAGCTGAATAAGATGGGAAAACATCGCATTCCTGTTTACCCATTACAAAGCCCATAGAAAAATAAAATAAAATAAAACAAATTAAGCGATTTCAGCTCACAGGGCCATACTGTATGTGCAGCAGGACTATTGCTGCCTCCTGTGTCAGTTTGTGTTACTATTTTTACAATAAATCAGGAATTGTCACTTATTTATTATAATAATATAATGAAAATTGGTAACAGAGAAGCGAAAGCTTCTGTTGTTGCCTAAAATAAAATAAAAATAAAATTATTAGTGCAGTTCAGTTTGTGGAACCATGAAGTTAACAGGCTTTTGTGTTATTACTACTTGTATTAGGTTCATTAAGTACACTATGTGTCATTATTACTTATTCCAGGCGTATATATATATATATATATTTTATGCGCGTGCGCAGTAGGTAATACATCTTATCCCGACGATGTATACTGATGCATCAAAACACCAAAACCAATGGCCAAAAGACACCGGTATTGTAAACTACAGACAAAAACTGTAAAGTTATATTTATGCAACTAGAAGAAGTTCAACAAAACATGAGAAATTGTTAAAATAAAATATTGTTCTGTACTTTTAATGTTGTACCAACATCAAGGGTAAATAGCCCTCCGCCGCCACATACAGTAACAACCCTAAACTCAACTCCTGACCACACGACATATACTCTGTCAAACTAATCAACACTTACCCGTCCCAAGTTCTCCTCCCGTGTGACGACCATTACGTTTAAAATCCTGCTCGGTAATCACCGTTGAAACGTACGCATTACTTTACTGCGTCAGAAATAGTTTTTTTACGTTTTGACGTTCTGCCAAACAGTTCCTTGGTTGGAGCGGTCCCAGAGACAACCAACGGATTCTAGAGACTAAAAAACGTTTAATGGATAATTCGGCTTGTTGAAAAATCGACAGATTCGACAAATATAACGTTTTTTAGGCAAATAACAACCGAAATTGAGTTCAACAGACAGGCCTTCGCGCTGTTTGTCGTACCGGAAGTCGTCACTGATGACGCCCCAAGGACCTATTAAGATTTTTTTTTTTTTTTTTTTTACTACATGAGGTTACTTTTTTTTTTTTTTTTTTAACTACATGAGGTTAGAACCTGTTACATAGACACAACGATATAATAAGATAAGGTAACAATCCTTCAAAAAATTTGAAAAGTTGTAAAGAAACTTTTGGACTAGTACTGTGTTCTGACTCAAACTGAAAGAGAAGATAATGATTATGATAATGGAGTGTACTAAGAAGAAACACTAAGGATGATGTTGATGTTAGTGTGGTGTTGAGTGTGAAGCAGAGCTCAGCCCGCAGGGCAATTTTTTACCCATGATGCTTAGGGTTTATGAGCCTTACCAGGAAATTATCACCATCCACTGTGTGTGTGTGTGTGTGTGTGAAAGACATCAATTACAACAATGCTGCGGTTTTGAGGTTGTGTTTATTGTTCTGCCAAATGTTCTGATTTCACATCCAGCATCTAAAAGTGTTAGAGCTAGAAAACACACACGTACACACACACACACACAGATCTGTGTACATGTGTTGTAACACCCGTGAACTTTGTCAACAGAATAAAAATTCTGACTCAACTGAAGGTCATAACAGTTCAGCTAATTGGAATGCATTCAATCAATCTTAATGCGTACACTCGGTTGGTTAGTGAACCATCTTCCTAGCCAACCCAACTTCCTCCAGATTCTATTGTAGCAAAAGTCATTCATTCTACCACCCCACCTAACACTAACTGCCTTCACCGTCATCATCACCTTCTTACTTGTCTTTGTATTCATCACTTCATCATTGCCTTGACATTCTTTTACGGCACGGCACTCGACTCATGTTTCGTGTTCTACTGAACTGTTTTCAGCAGGTACATATAGAACCATTCATGTGCCTCATTTCACTGATAATTACTACGAAAAAGAGTCACTGTCTTTACAGTCAGTGATGGTAGAGAGAGAGAGAGATAGACTAATGTACAACACATTTTTTCTCCTCTTTCACCCCCTGAATAACATCAGGACTGTTCACAAAAAAGAGAGGTCTCAGGAAGATAAGAACCAACCCATTTGGTTGGTCAACTGATTGGTCAGGACGTTGATTGGTTGGTTGGTCTAGTAACAATAAATACATCTAATTAACTTCTCATGTCTTATCTTCATTGTCCTTCATCTATTCTTGTTTTTTTCTTCTTTATATTTAAGCCACACCAACGCCTGTGAAAACCTGTCATGGAAATAATGGGGAAAGTCTGAAGAAAATAGTGAATGTACCTCATAAAAGGTTAGAACCACCAACATTCAGCATGTATTCACTGATGAACATCCACATGGTCAGGAGCCCCGTGTTTTAAATATTCTCAGACTTTCTGAAAGCCAAATGAAGGTATACTCTCTCTTTGACACAAATGTTCTATTCCAACTCTCACAGTGTAAAAACCACCAGCAGCCCACATTGACTTTGGCTCAAACAACCCAGAAGAACCAGGACCCATCATCCAGATGCTCAGAATCATTTCCCATCCATTTGTTTCTACAGACCCATGGTCAGGAAACAGATGCAGGTTTGTTTCTCTCTGCCACATTGTTTATTTGGACATTGGTTGGACACTAAACAAGACGTCTGTCGCTGGAGACCATCGGTCCTAAAACAGTTTATTGGAGCTAAACAAGACCTGAACATGATGCTGGAGACTTCTGTGGTTTGGGATTTGATACTGTTCATCTGGAACCAAGCAGGAAGTGTGGGGTAGAAGCTGGATGAGACATTTTGACATTTAACCCAGTTTAACGTTTGTACCAGGTTTTTAAAAGTTAAAGTTATATATATATATATATATATTATATATATATAATAACTAGTATATACTACAGTATATACTTGAAAGTATATACTTGAAACAAGAACATGGCGATATACAGTATGATTAATTAAATGGTGGTCTGTGACTACCCTCCCTCTGTCTTTATCCACCCAACCTTCTCCCTTCTGTTTATTAACCCCCAAATTTTGTGGACTTTTTGATGTCGTACTCATTCATTTCTGATTCTGTTTTAGGGCAGAATTATCTTCTTTTTTTTTGTCTTTCTCTGCAACTGAAATTGTTCTCTGACTCCTAGGATTTTGGATCAGTTCCCTGTAAAACCCAGAACCAGTCCGGATCTGTGTTTGTCAGCCGCTGAATTAACCACAGAAATGTGAATTAAATCCACATAAGTATGAAGGAGTGTGTGATGAGATTCACTGACGAGGTTTCACCCTCACTCTGACCTCCTCACCCCCTTCTTCTTCACTTACTGGAACTCCACGCCCTTCCCTCTCGTGCTCCTCATTTTCCCGTCTCCTCTTCCTCTTCATTACATCTTCTCTTCATAACTCACTCGGCCTGTCGTCAGATCTCCTCTGCAGCGTCTCTGTGTAGACCCTCCGTCTGATCTTCTCCTACATCGTCTTTCCAGAGCTTTCATCATCAGTGGTTTCTACTTTACGGACCGAGAGGAGTGAGAAGTAAAGGTGCATTTACTATTAAATACTCATCTACTAACTTATGACTGTGCTTCAAATGTTATTAATGTTATTAAATATCCCGAACACCATTGAGCTTTCTGATCACAAGACTGCGGTTGAATTGCCCTCTGGCAGAGCTGTGCCAAGAATTAAAAACCGTCCGCTGCCCCTGCATTCAATTCACAGGACAGATTTTATTGTGATCAAT